AGATAGGACAGAAAGTGACTTCTATACTTTTAAAATTTATGCAAAACTTAGGAGGTCTTTAGACCGAGCCAACTATATGTATGACTCACTCATTTATTCGCGGATCATCAATTAATAATTTTCTGCTTCTCTTTAATTTTTATTTGACCAACTGAACTTGTTATTTAAATGGGGTAGGGTTGTTGGTGAGTTGGTGTGCCACTGACAAGACAGCAACCCAGGACTCAAAACTCTGAATTCAGGAAAAATCCAAAACAATAACCCAGGTTGTAACTTCCTGAGTTGGAGAATTTTGAACTAATTGCAGATGCCAACTTTATTCTAGAGGGGTATAACACAATGCAATCATCACACAAATGCCAGCTTTCAGCAATCAATGCCTATATGGTAACATCTAGCCTGGTCTGAGAGGAAGATAATTTTCGTTTACTAAAAAATAAATGTGTTTAAAACTCTTTTTTTTTTTTAAGCAAAGAAGCTGGCGATGAGTTCAAATTTGGAGTTGAAGTTGATATTGAACTTTAAATTTGAAGTTGTATTTAATTTAATTATGATAATGACAATACTTTATTTATTGCCATTTGAATAATTATGTATCCTTCAATCAAAATTATGAACTACAGAATTACATCCACAGATTCATATTATTATTATTATTATTATTATTATTTGCACCGATGCTGGGCTTAAGTTAATTTTGGGTTTCATTATTATTAATATATATACATCATTACATCATTATATAGCATAATAAAAAGATAAATTAAACTAATACATAATAAATAATTTATATATTAAGAAAAAAAATCACTAGAGCAATTGCATATCTTGGACCCAAAGCTGTTTATGAGTTTTTTTTTTTGGTGGAAACTATGCTACACTTTATTACTCTTATTATTATCATCTTAATAATATCTTCAATAATAATTGTATATAAACTACAGAATTTAATAAAAATTTATTTACGCATCAACCAAGTAGTATGTTCTTATACAGTGTGTTTCAAAATGAATTTGCATTGTGCGCGCCCTTTTTTTTGAAAATTTTGAGATGAATAAAAAATTTTTCACATGATGAAAAATGATTGGATATCTCGCTTATATGATAAGCAACTCCTATATGTATTTATCATATTGTCTTTTCTTTATTTTTTTGATGTGCAAAAACTTTTATTGATGAAAAAAGGATTCGTGCAATAGACTGGCCATCCAATAGTCCTGACTTTAATCCCATTGAGAACATGTGGTATATCGTGAAAAATAATGTCAAAAAAAGAATGCCAAAGAATGTTGACAAATTAAAGAGATCTATGGTTGAGGAGTGGGAGAAAATTCCACAGGATATGGTCAAAAATATTATTATGTCTATGAAACAGAGATGTGAATTGGTATTAGAAAAAAACGGAGATATAATTTCTTATTAATTTTTTTTTATTTAATAAAGTATTCGATAGGCTTTTAAATGAATCTAATTTTATTTGTTTATCTTGCATAATTGTTAAGATATGCAATTTTTTGTGCACGCCCTTTTTTTTTGAAACACACTGTATATAAAAATTTGACAATTATTATTAAAAATATTTTAACTAATTAATTAATCACTATACAATAAGTGGGAGTTATTATTAATTGATTTGAGAAGATGAACATCATGTATTGACTTTGATTCTTGATCATCGTCATCACCAACATTACTACACATCCAATTAGCAATTTCTTGAGGAATCATCATAATATTTTTCTGTACAGTCAATTTCAACTTTCTAATTCTTTTCCAATAATTTTTGAATCCATCCAATTTATCATTATCGTCATTATCGTCATCAGAATATGGACATTGCTGCCTATTTTCCATAATAAATTTCCAAATACATTCAAATAATAAGTAACCAATATCATTTGATGTAATGTGTGGAAATAATTTTCCCACATGATTTAATGGTTCTGGTAAATATTTAGCCTAAAAATTATATTGCAGGTGAAAACATGAGTGTAAGTAAGTGGGCATAATAAATTAAAAATATAAATTACGTATATTAAATATAACTATGTATTAATTCTTACTGTCTTCATCATCTCTAATAATCTTTCAGATGATTTTAATTCTAAAGGATAGTTATTTGGATTCTGATCTTTCACACGATACCAAAAGCCAATATTTATAGCAAGTAATGGTCTTAATATTAAATCAAAAACTTCTTCAAATTTATCATAATCTGCCAGTGTTAGAGTGGTAAAAAATTCCAAGTAATAAAAGCATTAATAAATTAGTATCAACATTATATGGCAACATCAATAATAATAATAATATATTATTAATATGTATTAATGAATTACCATATGTAATGAATTGAAGTAAATCCCATAATTCTGGACTATCATAAAACTTTTTTTGAATTATATTGTCTCTAATTCATAAAAAAAAAAACTAATATTATTATCCCATCTCATTTCCCCTCCTCTCCAAAAATAAAAAATTATACCTTTCAAATGGAATAGGTTTAGGTACAATCAATATATAATCGGTTAGCAAGGTTGGTGGTTCCACTGTTACCATTTCATCAATAAAAATTTTCACCAAAATATTCATTTTATCCTTATCAATTTCTAACAAATCTAAATATTATTATTTGCATGAAAGAAAAAGAAAAAAAAATTTGTTTAGAAAAAAGTGTCAAAATTTAATAACAACAATAATAATTGTCTTTACCTGATTTTAGAGTACAACATCTTAATAATCTACTATTTTTATTGGCAATAAATATTTTTGCATTTTCTGATATTCTAGATTTCTTTATAAATTTATACTTATTGTTATCATTACTATTATTATAACTAGAATTAATGATATTCATAATAATGTCACTTTTAATACTATTTCTTCTAACTTTGTTACCAAATCCATAACTATTATTGTCATAGTTGCTGTTATTATTGTTGTTGTTGTTATTGCTATTAGTAATTCTTAAAAACATCCAATTTTCTAAGTCTATTAAATTCTAATTCTGTTAATTTTTCCTTTTCTTCTAAATCTGATGATTTTAATGGCCAATCTCGATTTCTTCTCATTCCTACTCACGAAATGTCTCACCATCAATAACGAAATAAATGAATAAGTTTCTTTTCTGTTTGCAAGTTTAACAATTATTCTTTCCATTATATTAGTCATATTTGTGATACTATTAATATTATTACAATTATTATTATCATCATAACTGGTGTTTTCAACCAAATCAAACCAAATGCTCATAATCTCTTCACAACATTTAACCATTTGTCTTGGTGGTAATATTCCATGAATGTTTGGTGTAAACCTTAATAAAAGCGATAATATAAACTTAATGTTTGATTCACCACTACTACTAATATCCATATTGTTAATGCTATCTTTATTATTATCATCAGTGCAATTTATTAGTGAATGCAGTATTTGTAATATATCTAAATATGAGTTTGTTAATTTATCAATTTCTTTAACTACATGATCATTCTTATTATTGTTACTACTTAAGAAAGAATCTTTTGCTTGGATTAGTAAATCTAAAGTTACTTTATTCTTCATTTTTATTTTTTTTTAAAAAGTTTATATGATCTTCCCAGTGTAACCAGCAAAAAAGTACAGGCACGTGATTTTTTAGAGGATGACCTGACGACTCAAAAAACTAATACTAACCTCTGACCAAATTTGTGATTTACTATAATCGGTGAAAATATTATACCCACCCAGTTTGTTTAATATTATTAATATTATATTAATAATAAAAAATGCGTATGCCGGATTATTGCTACTAGAGAGCTTTACCAAAATTTTCAAAAATCATGTTATAGTAACATTCCATTATTATTATATTCATTATATATAGAGAGTGTGAACTGTACCTTATCATTTTTTTTTTTAACTGCTTCATCTTCATTCCCAGGCATCATTATATGGTGTTTTTTGTTTTGTATATTTATTTAATATATACCTTTTGATTTTGTTTGAAGTTTATTCTCCAATCTGCTTTCATAATGTAAATGAGGAATGATTGGACCTAATGAAATTAATTGGTTGGAGGTTATCAAAAATCAAGACAGATCATTCATTATTATTATTAAAAGAATCAACAATCAATTTTTCTTTTTTTTTTCTTAAAAAAAAATTTTTTTAAAATGCCAAGGGATCAGAAAAAAATGAAAAGAAGGAAGACATAAGAATGGTGGTGGCTATTGCCACATGTCATCATTCTGGTCATTCTAGTTGATGCAGCTTCTAATCTTATTTATAATGGATATGATATTTTAGCCAAGGAAAGGGTAGGTTTTCAAATTTACTTGTTTGTTTGTTTGTTTGTTTGTTTGTTTGTTAACAATTTAGAATATTAAATTTGAATTCCTTTTTAATTTTAGACCAAAATTAATATATTTACTTTACAAATAACTAAATTTTTATCATCAGCATCTTTTAATTTTAACCCAAAAGCAATTATAATCACACCAACAAGAGATCTGGCAAACCAGGTTTCATTCAGTTTTGAATCAGTAACAAATAATGAAGATATAAAAACATTATCTATTATACATGCTGTCCAAATCCAAAATCATTTGGGATTTATGGCATCCCAAATAAGGTTTCTGGCTGAAACTCTCTATTAGTAGCCAAAATTGCCAAAACACTTTGGGCAAAAATTACTTTTTTATGAGCCCAAACTATTTTTTGTTATTATCTGAAATTGGGCAAAATTACTTTAAGGTTGTTTAAGTTAAAATAAGTAGATTGGTATAGTTTTTTAATGTTAATGTTTATAAAAAATGCTGAGAAGCCCAAATTGCCCAAACTAGTTTGGGCTTTGAGAAAACAGTTTGGACTGGAAACCTTAATCCCAAATCCACAAAGAGAATTTGGGCCAACCTGTCAAAGAATTTCCAAAACCCAAACTGCTTCATACACCCATATAATTCTGTCTCCCAACCAATAAGAGCCTAGGACTTGTGGAAGTGGTCAGCAACCCTTTTGTTACACTATATGCTTATTGGTTAGGAAAGCAGGGCAGAAAGATTGATCTACATTTGGGATTTGTACATTTGAGATGTATCTTGATTTTTAATTTGGGCAGCATGTATAATATCTATTCATGGTCAACAACTACAAAATTTATATAATGGTTTAATAGATATTTTAATAGGCACACTATATTAATAATGATGGTATAAAATTATCAAACTTAAAACTTGTTTGTATTGAAGAAGCTGATGATATGTTATATATTGGTTTTTCTGAACTAATGGATATCATTTTGCAAATCATTAAACAAACAAAACTATGGCACGCCATGCTGGACAAAAGTGTACCACATTTTGTTGTAATTAATTGCAAAATTGGATGATCTGCAAGTAAAATTTTTGTCCAATTGTAAGAAATAAATGCAGTTTAAAGGTTTTCTTTTACATTTCATTTCTACATAAATAATGACGATTAAAATAATTAGATAATGTGAGCAAGCAACAATAATATACAAATTGTCAAAAAGAAGAGAAATGTAAAGATATTTAATAATATTATTAAAATGCATCAAATATTAAATAACTACTAAATATTAACAATAAATAAGTTTTGAATATTATGTGCAATAGAATTCAGGCTTTCTTTTGAATCTAAGATCACTCAATTCGATCAAGTACTTAGCAAGATACAAAAATATATGGTAATAGGTAAAGAACTATAGCATATCGTATAACTAGATAAAGCATTCATAAAGTATATTTACAAAACTTGCTTTTCAAGCTTTGATCTCATTTAGTGTTAGTTAATTAGTTTTAGAGAGATTTATAAAAAAATAGTTTTATGAAGTAATGGTGGTAACATGATTTTTTTTTTTAATATTTACTTTTGTATCTATTTTTAAATTAGTATTTTATATATATATTTAAGAATGTAATAATTAAATTAAAAAAGTATTTACACAATTTCTTTTTCCAAAGGTTAATGATTGAGCAAAATCAGAAAGAATTATTATGATATATTCTTGTAAGATCTAGTGGTGTACGGATCATAAAGAATTGTCACGTGGCCATATTTTATTATTTTTAGAAAACAGGTAGAAAATTCAACATCAAAATTATAGTTGATATAACAATTATACTATCAATTATTAATCACTTTTTTTAGATCTGGTGGTGTACGATCAGAAAGAATTGTTACGTGGCCATATTTTATTATTTTTAGAAATAGGTAGAAAATTCAACATCAAAAATTATAGTTAATATATTCTTGTAATAACAATTATACTACTAATTACTAATCACTTTTTTTAGATCTGGTGGTGTACGATCAGAAAGAATTGTTACGCAACAATCAAATTGATTATTATTATTATTATATGTGATTACTATTATTATTCTTATTGTTTTAAATCTTTAATTTAATTTGATTTTTTCTATATGTTTTAGAAAGGGAATATGCATATCCATTTTATTTAGCAATTATTCAGTTATTTATCCATTTTATTAATTAAATTTATTCAGTAAATGCTCAGTCATTTATCCAAGCTTTATCCATTTTATTAATTAAATTATATCAGTGAAACCATTTTTTATGAAAAATGGAATTTCCATAAATGTATCATATATATTCATTAATATAAACAGGAAAAACACTGAGATTAATCACGGAATAAATTTTTTGCAAGCCTGAAAAAATTTAGACACCTATCTATAATTGCAACTTTTTACAACAAAATGTAGTCATGCCATACAATTAACAACAAAATGTTGCAACTTTTTGCAACAAAATGTGGTACACTTTTGTCCAGCATGGCGTGCCATACAAAACAAAAAAAGAAAGTTGAAGATGGTGATGATCATCAAATATTTTTATTTCTGATACAATATCTGATTGGCTAAAACTAATAGCTGCGAAATATTTAAAAGAAAATTATAAGATATTGATTTGAATAAGGAATCCAAAGACCATTAAGAACAATGATATACTAACACACAAAATCCAACACAATTGTCACACCATGAATTTTTTTTTTGAAATTCTGGTTTATAGATAGTTTAAAGTGTCTTCATTTGCTTAGATAAAGTATAATTTTTAATGTTTACATAATAGTTAATACATACATTAGTTAATACATAGATGGTTATAATAGTTAATATGCATAATAATATATAATATTTTTAAACATATTCATAACATATACATATTGCTTTATAAAAATATATTTTTAATACATAATATGTAGATATTTTTTTATAAAATGCTTATTTTATTTCTATATAGTCATTTTGGCATTTGCTATATATGGTAATAAAAAAGTTGTTGGGTTGGTAACTTTATAATTATATAACAAATGCGCAACAAAACTCTAATCACTATAAATAAAATTACTTTATTTATTCTCAAAACTTATTGCCACCTGTATAATCAAATTGGTCCAGATTATTGTTGTTGTTGTTGTTGTTGTTGTCTTCAAATAAGCCTGTAACTCCATTAAAAAAAAATCCAACAATTAGATCACCATTACTGACAGCTGCATTATTAGCACCTACCCTTGTTGGATCATTCACTGCAGTTTTTGAATTATTTACTGCAGTTACAGTGACAACTATAGGGATGCTTGTATTATTTAAAGAATTAACAAATTTTAATAAATAAAATTGCAACTTTTACAAAAAAATCTTTAGAATTTTATTTATTCATTGTAGGAATATAACGTGCATATATATATATACAGCCAGAACTTGTTAAACTAAAGTCCATGTTTTCACAAAAAAAAATCTCTAGTTTAATAAATCTTAATAAAATTAGCTTGTAGAGATAAATTTTAATAGGTAAATAATAAAAAAATATTGGTTTATCATGTATATTCATTATTATTGAGTTCTAACGGTGTATAATCTAAGTCACATCAATATTTCTTAAATATCACCACTATTTAAATAGTAAATTAACGAATGATACAATGTGGTATATGTCATCATTACAGCATTATTTACTGTGAAATAAAATACATTTTGGTTAATAAAAATAAAAATATTGCAAATATTTAATTAATTTTTTGTCTTTTTTAAATATTTTGTTCTTTAATTGGTCACCCTCCTTCTCTTTCTCTCATCTAATGGAGTTACCCAGCTTATTGTCTAGATTTAAATTGATCACCATCAATAATGGTGCCAGTTGACCAAATTTCTCTTCACAAGTTACTCATTAACGATAAACATTTTAATATTAATATTTCTACATCAACAATTATTAAAACTAGTGACATGAGCTGGCTAAGCTGGCTAAAAAAAATTCCTTTAACATTCATTTTTACGCCTGGAATTTTAGTGCAGAATTCAATGTGTGTCAATCTGCATTACTTAGAATGACATTTGCTCAATAGTTAGAGTTCTATTCGTAATGTAAATTCTTATTCAAATTACAACTCAATCTTAATTCGAATTATTATTATTCGTTTTATTCGTTTTATTTGAATTATTCATATTCATTTTATTCAAATTATTTGTTTTGTTTGTTTATTCGAATAAATTTTAAATGTAATTTGGATATTCAAATTCATAATGAATAAAACAAATAATTCAAATAAAGCTTATTCGAATATGATAAATAGTAATCATGGCAAGATATTATAATAACAATAGTAAATTATAGTAATAATACTGGCCAACATAACTAATCAAAACAAGATAACATAACACAATTTTTATTATTTTTTCTTTTTTTGTTATAAAACCATTATATACAATTACATAGGTAAACTCAATAAGTCGGATTTGGCCTAACTTGGACAAAAATTTCCATCCCTTTTTTTTTATATTTAAAAATTTCTTGATAAGTCAGACACATATATAAACTCTTGTTAAGCTGTAAGTCGGACAACTCCTCCAGCCAGATAATAATAAATGACTCTCGATAAGTCGGTTCACGTGATTTTTGTAAATCTTGAAAGATAATCTTTACTATTTTTAGTAATGTATTATCCAATAAATTTAATCTGTTTCGTGAATAATATTATTATCAATTATAATCATTTTAAAAAATTTGTCTTTGCAAATAATGTATTTTATTGTTATATTTATCAATTATGTCATTTATTATCTCATTATTAAATGAATTCACGTTTTGTTGTCTCATCATTAAATGATTAAAAGATTTAAAATGGAAAATTAATAGAAAACAAAATAATTCTTTAGTACAAACCAGTATGAATATTTATTTAGATAAAGAGTAGAGATTTTTTTGTTTTATCTTCTATCTGTTTTATTAAATTATTTTTTCAATTATTATTATAAATAAATAAATATGATTTAAACAACGATTTTCTTATTTGGTTTTTTTTTTTTTATTTTTATTTTTTTGTAAAATTACATATTTTGATAAGTCGGACACCATGTCCGGCCATTTGTGTCTGACTTATCAAGTTTACCTATGTATATACACAAAATATTTGGCAACAAATTAATCTAAATAAATAATATCTTGTGATTTTTCTATTTTTTTTTTTTTTTGTATGAATCTCCCATTCATGCACAATCTGATGTTTTATTTTTTGAGGAGACCAATTATTTAACAATCTATGAAACAGAGCAATTTTTGAAAATAGAATTGAGCTGCTTCCAAAAAAAAAAATAGATCTATGGTAAATGTTCTGGTGATTTACAATCAGAAAGAATTGCTACATAGTCATTATTATTATTATTTAAATACACTGGTAAGGAAATCTATTAAAGGTCAAACTTTTGATTAAAAAAAAACAGCACATTAACAAATGTTTAATTGATGATCTGCAAATAAATGAGTGAGTCATACATAGTAAAAAACGAGGGAAAATTGACACAAAAATAGCTAATTGAGTACCTTTGCATGAAAAGTTGTACTATGTTTTTGTTCCACCACATGATTTTTTTTTACGTCCACAAACAAAACAAATCCCAAAGAACATATTATCAGTTTTTTTTTTGTCTTTACTTAAGTAAAAAAAAAAGTTTACTCTTTAGCACCTGTAGATTTTTAAGAATTTTCATATAAAAATTTTTACATGTTCCGTGTAATGGTAGTATTTATATATTAAAAACATGTGATTTATTGTCTTCAAAAATAAGAATAAATAAAAAAAAAAAATTTTTTTACTTATTAATTAGATGATGTATTTTCAACCACCTGTCTTTTGTGATGTTGACGAGAAGGATTATTTTCAGCTTCTAATTCGTCAGTTCCAACAAGTCTTTGAAGTTCTTTTAAAATATCCTCGGGAGAGTATTTTTTCTATATTACCAGCCAAAAACATGATTTTTAATTGTTCAATCGCATTTAAATCAAGCTTCTTACTACCTTTCTTCCCATACTCTTTAGAACAAATCCAGGTTCCAATTTTTCATCCAAGAGGTTTTTCAAATTCATATTATTTAGCAACAGAGAATTATTGTATTGTCTGAAACAGGATAACTGTATAGTTTATTTCCAGCGAAATCCAAATTTTTCTCTTGAAGCTTTCAGGAACAGACAATTTTTGAATTGATGGGTCAACTTCTGAAGGAAAAAATATTTTCCATTCTGATTGAGGTGTTGTTTGATTAATGACTGTAATGTTTGGTTGATTAATATTATTATTTTTCAGAAGTTTTTTAATATCAAAAATTGAATATTTTTTGATTTCCCAAAATTAGGTATTTCATACACTGCTATATATCTATCTTTGTCACCAGATGGCTACATGAAAGTAAAATAATTAGAAATTCCTTTAATGGTACCAACTGTCACTTTTTTACTACAATCTGGGATTATTAGTTGATTTAGACATTTTAAGATCACAATTTATTAATAGTATTATTTAAGATTTTTTTTTTTTAAATATAATTTTATGAAAGGCTTTTTGAAGTAAATCAAATATTTTATCTATTTATATAAAAATCCAAACAAAGTTCAAAACTTGTATCAATGTTTAAACTTGTGTCAAAATTAAACTTGTGTCAAAGTGTCAAAATTCAAAACTTGCATAAGTTCAAAATTTGTATAAAAATTCAACTTATATCAAAGTTAAAATTTGTTAGTTCAAAACATGTATAAAGATTTAAAACTTGTGTCAAATTTTAAATATTTGAAACTTGCAATGGTTTTTCTTTTATTCTAAAATTTTGGTGTAATGAACACCTGTAGATTTTTTTTTTTCAAAATTAATATTAAATTTCCCTCATTTTTTAATAGTAAATTGATCGACAATTCTCTCATTTATTCACGGATCATCAATTAATTTATAACATACCAAACAAAATACAAGCCATTTTATTTTACAGCTTTCTCCTTGATGCCAGTGATCATGGTGACTATCACAATATGAGTGGACAGAATCAAACTGCCACCTTTATACTTGTAAGATACATGCTCTCATTGAGCTACACTCCTTTAACCTAGAGTGGGAGGTTATATGGGAAAAGTTCCCATTTAAAAAAACAACAAATTTAGTTGGTCAACAAAAATTAAAGAAAAACAGAGTATTTATGAAAATGATTAATTTATAACATAACATACCAAAATCCAAACCATTTTTATGACTTTTTCTTGTTGGCTACATTGCTGATAAAGATGTATATACACAATGAGTGTTGGTATAGCGGATAATTTGGGCAATTAGAACAAAAATTTCAAAAATCCATTATACCGAGATTAATTCAAGATTTAATTAGTAAATCCATTAAACTGAGAGAATTTACTTATAGATGGTTCTGAGCTTTGATCCGTTAAACTGAGAGTTTTATTAGACATCCACTATACCAAGGTCTGCTATACCAAGACTTACTGTGTATGTGAAAATAAATTCGAAATTTGTGTCACATGAAGTTTTTTAAAATATCTTGTTATTTTTATAATAAACTCAAACTTCATTGTTAGAGTAAAATGAAAGTACTCCATTAAAGCTTTCTAATGAATACTCATTCACATTGAAAAAATCTTCTCTACGTGAATTCACAGCCATTCAAAAACAGTATTACTTTTTCACTTCAAAGCTCAGATTATTTCCCAATATCGCTTTAAAAGACTTGATAGTCATCAGGAAATTTTCCCTGCTGCAATATTATGTCTGTAAATTTTAATATGTAAAGTTGTAATATTTGCATAAAATTATGTAATATTTACACTCGATGTAATAATTACATAATTTTTGTATGCTTATTTGCATAATATTACAGGCCTGCCGTAAACTTATGTAAATAGTGTAATAATTACATAAATCTGCATCAGAAAAATTTCCTGATGGTAAATGAGAAGGTGTAGAATACTTTAAGCTTTTATATGGTTATTACTTTATGGGGTATTGGTTAATAAGTTTTAGAGAGGTTCACAAAAAACTATTTTATAGAAATTTAATAGTCATGAAGAATTTTATGTAGATGAGATTCAACAAAAACTAAAAGGTATTTATTAGTGATTGTTTTATATTGATTAAATTTTCATTAATGATTATTATAAATATCCATCAATCAGTAGTTGTTATAGCAACATTAAACAAAATATTAGCAGCAATAAATAGCAAACAATGACAACAAATCATCTTTTTTGAGGATGATAATAAAGATTAAGATCCAGTTTGTATAGGAGTGATCAAAGTAAACGTTAAGGACAAGATCTATGAACAAAACATACTAACAGTCACA